TAAAATAGTTCAGGTTTGGCTGAACCATACCGGCACGGAGGGGAGGGGGAAGGGTAAACACCACTAAAGATAGTTGTAGGAAACAGTTACATTGCCTACAGAATAAAGCAACCAAAACAGCAGCAAATACCAGCATGTGGCATCACCCAAACAAAGGCTCATGTCTCACACATACGGGCAGGGGATTTGGGCCAGCTAGGGTTTTAAGAGGGTCTGTAAATCTGTAAGAATAGAAGAAAAGAAAAAAAAAAAAGAACTGATGAGCATTAAACAGCGAAGCAGCAGCCGCAGCAACACCCTGAAAAGGGTCAAAAAGAGACAGTCTAAATTATTGCCTGGAAAAAGCTGGAAGCTGGGGCTTCTGTTGCTAGATTGTGAATGTGTCCAGAGAAAACACATTTTGCATGTTCTTTGGAAATAGGTATACACTGACTTCTTCCATGCCAGGGTCCAAAGGAGTAGCCAAAGATGGGTGCTTGCATGCTGGGGAGGGTTTGGAGATGCACAGGAAGAGGCCAAACCAAGCTCAAATTAACTTCATTAAACTCGAGAAAGTGCAGGTAAGCATAAACCAAGTTCAACAGCTGTTTGCTGCCCTTGGTTCTTGCATGGAAGAATCACTCCAGAACTGCAAAAAAGCAGAGAAGCTGGCTCAGAGGAAACGCTGAGTTACCCTAGGACTGTAAGCGAGGACACATAATGCCTGTTTTCTCCAGATCTCCTCCACCCTCCTCTTCATTTTCCCCAAACAAGAAGTGGGGGAAAAAAACACTAGTTCCAGAGGAAGGACTTATCCGAAGGATGGATCCTGCCTTCAGACCCACCAATTGTCAGCCCAGCCCCTGGGAAGCTGGGACCGAGGGAACTTCCAGGTGCTCGGTGGGCACAAGTCAAAGCCACCTTCTCCTGCTGGTTATTTATAACTTCACTGTGACATCTTGAAAAACCATGGGTCAGAAACACAGTGCTTTTGTTAGTGAAGGAAAAAGAACATTTCCTTATGCAGTGGACATGCAAAGGTTTATTCAGATTGCTGCCTTACTGCTCTACAGCAAAATAAAAGCAATATGGTCTTGGCAGGGAAAGGCTCAGTCTTAGGGTAGGATTTTTCTTCAGCCCAGCCCTCCATAAATACTTCTTGGTGCTCAAAACGTGCTCTGAAAAATCCTGCATTTTCCCACCTCAACACTGTTGTGCTCCAAGAGGAAGTTCAAGTCATGGCACTGCTGCAACATCCTGCCTGTGGGAAACCGAATGTTAGCTACCAAGGGGAAGCTAAACATGAAAAGAGTAAGAAGGGAGAGGGAAGGGGAAGGCAAGCCAAGGTTGATGCAGAACTGCATTTCTAGTACATACAAGAAAAGGCAAGAGATTTTATTTTGTCTGGGCAACAAAGTTTTATTCAGCCTCTGGTTTTACAAGTGAAGATACCTATTCCTCTACCTTGACGAACCTCAGTCTGGAGCCGAGGAGGATGCACTGCCACTGCATCCAAATAGAAACGAGGTGACTGCGCTCACGTGGCATGTTAATACTCAGGAGCCCCCAGCTTTGAATTCAGGCTTGAGTTTTTCCTTTGCCACACTGTGTTTCCGCACAGGCTGTCTCTTGGCAGAAGGATGCATCTCAATGGAAGCAAGCCTTCCTGTTTGCCAGAAAACAGGTTTTTCTCCGCGGCACGCTTGCTGAGCCAAGGTCAAGGGGTCTTGAACAAAACCAATGTCAGGCACTTGCAATGGGAACGAAAAGAAAAACTGTGCAGTAATTTTGCCTTGGCCTACAAAATAATGTGCTAATAAGCTGCACCTTACAGAGGAAATGCAGACTGCACGTGACCTTGCAAAATCAGAGCCTGACTTTTTGAGGACCTTTTTTTTATTATTATTAAATACCCCCACTTATCCAATCATTCCATTTTGTGCCTCACTGCAAATTCCCTCCTAACTTTTATTAAAAGGAAGTCAGTTGCTGCAGGTCTCTGCCAAAGAGAGCTCCCACTGAATGGAGAGGAAACTGGTCTGAATAAGGGTCCAGAAAGCACAGTAAACAGAGTGCAGAGAGAGCCCTGGACGATGGGACACAGGGAGATTGGTTGGCAACAGCCTGGCCTGAGCCTCCTACATCTAAACCCACCAACATTTACTGCCTGATCAAACAAACAAACAAACAAAAAATCCATCCGCTTAAAGACCTATATATATATATATATATATTTTAAGCTTAGTGGGTGCACTGCCCAGCTCAAGTTGTTTTTTGAGGTGCCCTACAAGACTGATGCGATGAATTTGTTTTCTTTTCTTCCTTCCTTCTGACGACAGCAGTCGGGCATCACTTGTAGCTTGCTTTGTATTTACTGTTACTCTCACTAAAAAAAAAAAAAAATCTAAAAAACCACAGAGCTTTATTTTCACAACTGACCAGTGATTTTGGGTGGTCAATTCAAATCATATTAAACAGAGCTAGCTTTGAAGTATGTGCAATTTTCAGCCTTTCTTGAAAGTGGTCCCCTTAAGGGTATCTCCATTGGGGCACCCAA